ATAATATATATATATATATATATATTTTGTGCCGTTCTCAATCTTACATCGCCATTGTTGTTTACCACTCCGTGGTCATATTTCGGATGACCTGGGAAAATTTCGTTACTTTCTTCTTCTTCTATTTGTTGTCATGTCTACCACTTTTCGCTTGTTCTTGAATAATCTGTTCTATTATATCTTGTCTTGGTCTGGGCTGAATCCCCTTTAGAGTTTCTGACTTTCGTCTGCGTCATTTGCTTTCTTTGCAGAGAAATATAATGTTCTGAAAAGAAAGCAATCATAATGGACTCCGTTGTAAGGTAATAATTATAATAATAATAATAATAATAATAATAATAATAATAATAATAATAATAATAATAACAACAACAACAACAAACCAACAATAACGTCGCCTTCGTTGGCGCAGACCCTGTTGTAGCAGGCGGTGTGATCTGTGCAGATGAGGCTTGCACGGTTCGAGTCACTTGCCGTAGAATGGTGCGTATTTGTGGTTGTCCCTTGACTCCCTGGCGTCATCCAGCCTATTCATCTCATAATTCACCAGTTCAAGCCGCCGTAACAATCTTGTTGTAATCCAGGATACCAGCATGAAAAGCTATCTGGAAGATTTCACACGTTATGCGTGTAACGTGGTCAGTAATGGCCTATAACGCCAATAATAATAATATTATTAGATAAGTAATAACGTAATAATAATAGGCACGCATTTGAGGCTAAAAACCAAAGGATGTGTACTACGGATGATGTAGCGTTAGAGATCGTATGTTTAGTGGAAGTGGCGTCGACGTCGGATATCTGAGTTTCCAAGTTTGTGAAAATTCATTCTTTATATTTCCACGGGAAATCTTTGAATTTCTCTGCGAGTCTGATTCATGTCTGTCCGATTGTGAATAACTATTGAGCGCAGGTTGTTGCTCGTGAATGCATCATGCGAGTTGGTACTTTCATCGCCACCTTGCCGCAAAGGACTAGGCAGGGGACTATGGGCACGATCGAGCCTGGACACGGGATAAGTGACGGTGCGGGGAGGGGCCCTGGGATTTCCAAGTCCGATATTGGCGCGGTGCAGTGTTCGCAAAATAGGCAACGTGGAGATGATGCCTCACACCAAGTTCACTGTATCGCTCGCTTACTCGGTGCCCTTTCCGCTTTTAGCACTTCCTCCACCACGTCCAAATGTCTACTGCGTCTGTTCATTCACGAAGCCAACTCATTCTTATAGGGGGTGCTGACTTTATTTGCGAAGCGGAGAAAGGTCGGTGGTGTTCTTCGAAAGCTGCCCTCGCCCGCCGCTAATCTGCAACTACTAGTGCCCCTAATATATTACGCCATGTATCCATAGACCAAAATTTAAACATTACGAGAATAAGGAAACAAATAAGCAATAAGTGAATGTTATCCATGTGGAATTTTTTTATCCTTCGCAAATATAGGCCTGTCGGAGCTGGGGACGTACTCAAGGCCTGCCTCGCTGGTTTTAAATCCTCTTCATTAAATTGATGTTTTGAGTTGATTTAATTGATGAAATCCACACTTCCAAAATTCGTCCTTGGCCAACAAGGGTCGCCGGTAGAAACGGATCACCTTGTCAATTACCACAAAGCCCCGCACAAACAGAAGACGGTGGTGGCCTCGTATGATCAACTAGGCTTTGGAAAAATCTCTAGAGGCCCCGGCAAACCTTCCATAGACATTGATGAGCTCGTACCTAGCAACACCTGGAGACGCGGGCGTTGCCCGGAGCCGGAGACACCCCTCCCCCACGCCGGCATGGCCAATGACGTAGCCGCCCTTTGGGTATCCATTATTTTTGTCGATTATTTCCACCCGTGTCCCTTCACGCACAGAATGCATCTTTCCGGTGTGATTCTGCTCGAGTTCTGATTTATCCCTTCCGCCCCACTCCTCATCCGCCTATCTCAACTGGTCACCCGCCACCGCCCTTTTAGTCTTATTATTGGCCAATCACGGAGACGATCCGCCCTCCTCCTTTGTGGTCGCCCGATGCATCAAGTACGCGCCCACGCACGGCACATTTCCCGACGAGGACACGCCAACCTCATTAGGCAGCAGCCTATAGCTCTGAAGAAGCCACAGCCAAGATGGCCGACGTCAGTACAATTGACCGGAGACGCGAGCTCATCACGGATAGCCAAGAATGCATATACTGTTATCACTTACTACGTAATAGATAATAATGTTATTTCCTGGTAGGAATTTCGGCCTTTGCTAGGCACACGAGTACATAACTTTTCTTTTATTCGAAGGAATTCGGAAGAGACGAGAAACTACAAAAACAAATAACGAGTTGTAATAATTTATATTTAATGTGGTCGCCAACATTACAATTCCTTTAAATCCTCAAACTAAATCTATTACTTAAAAAATTATCTCGGACGATCGCAGCAATTATTATTGTCAAGATAAAGTAGTGAAGCCTTTGTATATAATGAAACTGAAGTCGAAAACTAATTTGACAGTTTATTATCCCGAAATTATAGTTGACTCTCATCTTCAGTTGCGTTGTCGGCAAGCTACTTCGGAACTTGCTAACATTACTCTTGCAAGCTGCCAATCATATCAATACAAATTATCCGACACAGAGACATCACAGCGGACATAACCTTTTGCCGTCATTTGTGGAATTCGCATTACATCCACGTCATTAGAGTTTTTTTTTTTATAATCTAGTAAAGGGATTTATCCCACTTTCTTCGTTATCAGGGAAGCAGATGACTTTTTTCTGACCGAAAAAATCCGCCAGTTTTTAGCGCAGCTTAATATAATTTCCCTATCTCACGCATGTATCTTCCGATATATACGTCATTCTTACGAAAATCCAGCTCAGTAATTGTTAAGAACAACCTATGTGGGAGACCGCTGATATTAGTTGTTCTTAGCGGAAGGCTTTTATATTTACCTCATCCGCGCAGCGGACCTTGTAGGGTGTTGAGAGGAAATTCTAAAACCACGTACACATAAATTAAAAAACTAGGATTAATGAATTAAAATTTTTGAAACCCCATGGGGAATACAATGAAACCCAACCCAAAAAAAAAAACCCCAAATTTGGGGGACCATCAAGAACAAAAAAAACCCCCAAAAAATGAAGGTGTGGTGTTTTCCCCTTTTTCCGAGGACGCAATTTCTGTTCAACCTATCTAATGACACTGGCTTCTGATTGTATTATTTACACTAACTAAATTTAATAAAAATTATGTGTAAAATGACATTATACTAAGCTTCCGCAGCCCGAATCCATAAATTCTCGGCTATCCGGGAGACTTCGCGTCGTTGGCTGGGTAGTACAAATCACCGGGCGCGCAGCGCCGCAGTGTCACTGCCCTGAGGAAGCCTGCGACATGTCGGCCTCCCAGCCAACGACGCGGCGTCTCCCGGATAGCCGAGAATTTAAAATGTCATTCCTCTCTCAAGTAATCATTGTTAAGCTGAATAACATTAATGAAATACATACATTTCCCACAGTTCTGCAGGCAAACAATGTTTTAAATGGCCGGAATATTTTGACTTCAGTAAATCTTCTACTGCTTTAATTTTCCAGAGAAACGTTCCCGTTATTCACAAGTTCACTTTCGATTGCGTTGTGTCGTTGATCTATATTTCAGCGCTATTTGAACCGCTAGTTATTACTTTACGCTTCCCAGCCCTTCACTCGCTCCGGGACTCGACCTCAGCCCGCGTCAGCTGCGCCCGCCAACGGCTTCTCGGCTGTGCACAAAGCTGTCCTCTTTCTTCAGCGCCCACCGTCTCCACCGCAGTCGTCGCCTCCTACTCGTTGATGCCTTCTGTTTTCTCTCTTCGACGACGCCTACCGTCCTCCTCTGCTTCTCTCTTGACCGTCGTCGTCTCGTTCACGCCCGCGTGCCAATGTTCCTTGCACGACTCAAATGATGAAAAGATACACTTTTGCTTTGTTTAGGCATACTTGCAGTACTCAATTGTCCGGTTCTAATTAATGCAAGTGACTGATGGTAACTATGTTTTCTTTATTCTTCACACCCAAGAATACTGTCGTATTTCGTGCCTACAGAATCACTATTAATAATTTTATACTGTACAAGTTCTCACGTCTTCGCTCTGACGAAAAATTCCCTTTTGTCTACTTTCAAGTTAACTTTTTCACGAGTTTCAAACTACAGGTTCTCCCACGCGATCGGAATAAGAAGAAAGAAACGGTCAGCGGATCGCCGTTTTTATGCGGCCGCCCTCCGCATGAGGCGCGTCTGTATGGAATGTGATTCCAACATATAATTTCAAATGCAAAATGGTATCGTACTAAGGACCACATTAAGATTCTTTGCTATTAATCCCCACTAAGCCACATTAGCTCTAAATTAAATGTTTCCTTCAAATTCCCAGGTTCTCTTTTTGAGTCATATTAATAGCAGAATATCCGTTTTGTACAATTTAGGTTATTATTTTTGCGGAAGAATCCATACGATAGGTCTGTCGCAGGAACGTGCAGTCTGGTCCACAATAAAACATTTGTGAATGTCAGGGCCTTCCAAAGTGAATTTTCTTTCAATTTCATAATGTAATACGTTTATAGCACTATTACAATATTGCTTCTATAATGAGAAAACGAGGAAACAAAACGAACGATAGATAGGGATCGGTGTCTGGTTGATGCAAGCTCTGGAAAGAAGTTCATTGACAGCCGATGTCAACCGTCGTGGCGTGGCCGTGGAGTGGGGAAAGGGCGGGAACGCGCGGGTGGTGGGAAGGTGCTGGCGGCGGCGGTGGCAGCGGCGGCGCGTGTGGAGCACCGTAAACGAGTACCGCAGTCACGCTAGAGCCTCCGCCGCTAACCACCATGAGCTGCGTTCTGCTCCTGGCGCTGATCGCCTTCGTCACCGCCCAGCCCACTACAACAGGTGACAGAGTAGTGAACATCGTTTTTTACACATAATACTACTTGAACTTATTTCCATGATATTTCCTAGATAGAATTCATCCGACTTAAGAATATATTAATATGCGAAACTAGAAAACATGTAGAAATGGAGATACGCCACTTTAGAAATAAGATCAATCTTTTCAATGTCAGTAATTGAAAACCTTCACGTCGTTAATCATATGCTCTTCCGACCCGCGAATGATTTATACAATTATACAGCATCGCTGATTTGTTTCGATGTGCGACAATATTAAATGAATTTGTTGATTTAAAAGATGAGTTTGTTTCAGGACATGACAAAACATTACAAAATTCTTTCAATCGCATTTTTCCCTTCTATTTACGACTTATTTACCATCACTTTTTAATCACATATGGACTTCAATTTTTAATTTGTATATAATATTTTATGTTCTTGTAGTTGTATCTCTCGAAAATATTTTTTTAAAATCTGCATGGAACCGGAAGTCAATTTCTGCTTTGCATCCATATTTTACGTGGTGGAACAAAACAACTATATTTCTTCACTTTCTATCCTGAGAAAGTAACGAATATTGATATAGACGTATTTTCAATTTCCTAAAGGGAGGCAATGATTTGTTCCTAAAAGATGTTGCTTCTGAAAGTGTTACACTGTTTGGCTGAGAGTTGATTGTTATAGCAGATCGGAAACTGATAATCTTATTCAATCACGTTTATAATATATGAGTTTAGGATTAAGAGGTAGAAGTTAATTTCAATTATAGTTATGAATATTGATGAAAGAAATATTTAAATATGTAAAACAGTTTAGCGAACATTTATTAAATTACATCAATTCTTAAAAAATTGGTCTCACTGAACAGCACAGTTTCTTCCATTTGTAAATCTGCACTAAATAATTAAACAACGACACCAATAATTTTGTTTTCAGTGTATAACAGTAAAGTGAAGTGAACTGAAAAACTACAACCTATGATGATTGTACTTTTTTTTTGTTTTCAATTGCTGATAGTGATATATTGTGACAGTGATGCATGTTGTGTTGCAATTGGTGTCAATAACTAGTTCTTCCTCAATTTACCGAAAATCATATAATCAATAAATGCATAGCAAAATACATCAAGGAGTTAGTATATTGTTTTTTGAAGTCTCATTTCATCCGAAATAGTATTGTTAGTATACTTTCATCTGATGAATCTCTTTCCGCCCATCAGAATTATTACGTACTTTTACCTTTTTATTCCAATTTTCAGAATTTAGTTTGGCTAAACACATTGCGAAAGAATATTGGTCGATCTGGCTAGTAAGTGAGGGAAGAGCAACAAGTTATTTGGGTATGGTTCTTTATCAGTGAAAAATGCATCTTCATTTGGAAATAATAAAATAATGACAATGATCTATAATAAATTTTTCACGACTCGACAACCGCAACTTTTGCCATTTATCTGATTAGTTTCCTCAATGCTCTTTCATGTTTTTGAAGACGGATTGCCCACTTTTGTGGGACAACTAAATCTCCCTCTATTTCCTGAATTATCATCTCCCCGAATAGAGAAAAAAGTATTGGAATAATTTCGATAATACTATTTCAAATTTTTGGCCGCAAAATACGTGTTTAAAGTTCTTTTGAGCTATAAATACGTTAAGATTAATGTCTATTATTGCTGTACGAAGGAAGATTCAGATCGGTGAAGTGAAGAGAAATTTTATACCCGAAAATCGGAATATGTTTGGATGGATGGATGGTCGAATAGATACGTCTCGCATAACTGTGTCAGATTAAATGGTTTTGGCCGAAACTTGATAAATATGTTAGAAGTAATATCTTCTTGTGCCGTTCCCGAGAGCATTATGGTATATTAATTTTTGGGGTTACTTTACAATAAACCCCTTCGACATTTTCAAGATTTTTAGGAAAATAAACTTGTTTTTCTTTTTTGCTAGTTTTACATTACGTTCACCCTTTTCCAGGATTTAAGTAGTGCGGGGCCCCAAGCACAAAATTGTTTTGCCCCCCCCCGAAAAAATAGCTCCATCTTTATTTAATAAAAAATGTATTATAGTACAAGTACTTTCGGTACAGATACTAATGAAAACTTATATTTTTTATAGTAATTTTTACTTGTGTTACATTTACATTATTTTTTTCTGCTCTTCACTGCAGAAAATTGGTCATGATGTCTTCAAAAACTGAAAGATATCTCAGCTTATCATGCCTCCATACTCAGGATATGAAATTGTACATTTTGTTACACAGTTGACAACTTGCATTAACAATTATTTCACAGACAAAAAAATATGGCATGCGTATTTTCCAAACGCGGGGCCCCTGGTGAATGGGGGCCCCCAAGCCACTGCTTGTTTTGCTTGTAGGTAAATCCGGCCCTGCCCTGTTCAAATAAGTAAAATGAATATCATTGACAGCAGAGTTCTATTAACATTAAAATAAAATATTTATTTTTCACAATATTTTTTTGGTAGAGGAGGTTGATTGTTCGTTTTTAATTTACAGCGTTTTCCATTAGCCTGTTTAGTGTTTGGAGATTGTTGCACCATCTGCTTACCATCTGAAAGTGCTTACATCATAACTAATGAGATTTGTGCGTGCGAAAATGTACGCTGTAGTGTGAAAGGTTGTGTCGTGTGATTCGCAGCGAGAAAAGAAGCCGAGTCAAAGAATGCATAAAATATGTTCTGAAGTCTTAATCGTCCCTTTCTTCATTTCTTCGAACACCAAGACGAGCGTATACCCACATCCCGGTGTGATAATATCTCACCAGTTAATCTCTCTGCGGTTACGCATTCGAGGTAAAGGAACTGCCCCAGTATATAGAGATGTAAAATCCCACAAAATCAGTTTAATTTTATTCCCTTCTACTTCTGCAATTTCTGCAATTGATATGGTGATCGTTTTGTTGACGAATCTATGCAAACATTAAAAGGTGACGTTTTTATGTATTATGTAAATAATTATGTAATAGTCAAATTTAATAAGAATAATTTGCATTGATAGTATTCACATTGATTTGAAAATCGCATGCTTAAGAATGTGAATTTGAGAAATCAAACGTAAGAACGTAAATGTGATTCTGTACTCACATTTGTATTCACAAAATGTACTCACATTTTGGTTTTCTCCATATTCACTTGAAGTTCAAGATTAATATGTTCTAAGGCAACTGATCCTACGTTTTTGCAAATTTGTTTTTAAAAACGTGGTAACACGGATGAAAAGTTAACTTGTCGCATTCAACTCCACCTACGTAGATGTATTTGGTTGGCGTTGGTTTAATTTCAGACGTACTAAGATCGCAGATCTAAAACATACAAAAACATGTTTTTAAAATTTCTTAGAAACTACTGGCCGAATCCGAAAACACAATGTCAGTTCCCCACCATTAGACGGAGACGCGTCAAATGACATCTCATTTGGTCTCGATTGGTGCACGGGAAGTGGTCTAACCGTGACGGATCCGCGCGCGCGCACACACTCACACACAAACCCACACTCACGCACACCCTCTCACACACACTGTCACACACACACACACACACACACTCTGACGCAATCTCTCGCACTCACACACTCACTCACATATACTCAAATTCTATATGCGGATATTTGTTTTACAGGCACAATTCAATTTAAAAAAGTTCGAAAAAAAGTTAAAAATGTCAATTGAAAAAATAGATTTTTATTATTCGTTCGCATACATACGTAGGTATTTACGTATTATTTTGCAGATAAATTTATGTAATGATTCATTTGTGATGCATAATCTAATAAGAGAAAGATATGTAATGCGATGGAAAATTCATTTTCAGATTTTAACGGAAATACATTTTTTGAAATCCCCTGATACTGAAAAACGTATTTTCGTAAATGTCTGTCCGTTCGTCTGTCTATCGATCAGTTTGTGAACAACACTAGACACACATATATATTCCCAGCAGCAGCTTTAAATACTCGAAAACGCAAAAAGCATTCCGCTACACACGCGTCATTTTGGAGAATGGTATCGAGGCGCTATGTAGTAAATCGTCTTCAAGTTGTAGCAATAACTACAACTGTTGAACATCCAGATTTTACATCCAGCACAATAGTATCACAAAATGCTACATCGTGTTTGGGCCAAATTAGACTATTGCATAGATGTGTCGTGTGCCAAGAAAGGCCTGAAAGTCGAGAAACCAAGACATTTGGACATTTGTGGGAACTTTTACACATTAAACACATTATGCGTATAAACATCGATTGGTAAATATTAACTTATCACGAGGTTATATGTGTACCTTAAAAATTAACTAGTGGTGTTACAACAGCACATATTTTTGCATTATTGGTAACGTTTGTAATTTTCAAAAATTCAATAAAAATCTTCTATTCGCCATTTATATAAACGTACTTCGTGCTACTCGAAATAATAGAGCGTTTTTTGGGAACATATATTTAAAATTGTTTTTATTGCACGTAAAATTATGCGACAAATACACATATTTTGAAAAATATGTATATAGTTTTATCCGCATATCTATTTCTGAAGAACAGCATTTATTATGAAAAATACTTAATCTTCTATATTATCGTTGTAAGAAGACGCTCTAAAAAATTTGGAGCATATTTCAGAAAATCTTGAAAATGTGGGGGTCTTGTTTAATGATCCTCCAAATCAAAAAATCTTTTTCAAATTCAAGAATCGCGGCACCAAGTAAGTAGATCGGGGAATATAAATTTTGTTAAAAAATCTATGGGTTAGCCACTAGTGTTGTAGTTAGAAGGACTGGCGGATAAACATAAATTTTTCGGCATCAAAGACTCCCAAAACCTGGATTCTGAGTACTCAGTGTTTATGCTACTTTAAATAGCGTACTCTTCCCAATTAAAGATGTGGTAACTAAATAATGTCTAGACATTTTAGGATCCTCTCCGTTCCTTAGACTAAGAAGATCCTCTTCTACCCTTTCTACAGCTGCTTAATTGCTGCCTCGTAATTTACAAATTTAGTGTAGAGTTTAATAAAGAGCAATTAACGATGTAGTCAGTTGATCGTCTCGAGACGTGATCGCCAACTTGAGAACTCTGACTGGATCTCCGTATAGCCTCAGAGGTTTCAACCACCCCCGGCAGAAGTTTGGCGTTGCGCCCTCCATGAAAAGTTGGGCAGCCAGAGGAATAACTGGTTATTATTTTATCATCTAGACTCGTCCACGTGACGGAGTCGATCACATGGACCCCTTTCTGACATTTTATTACCACGTCATGAGTTCAACGCCTTCAGCAACGAAGAAAGTGGCTTCCATGAACACTACGGTATGCGACTTTCAGAGTATCTTCTCCTCTGTGGAGTTCTTGATCTCGTCGTGACGCTTTAACTCTTGCTGGCTAAGTAAAAGTGCATTGACCCAGGATATGGTTCATGGTTTCTCTTGCTGAATTGCACTTCTTGCATGATACATCCTCTTTGGGTCATAAAGGAAATTATTTACTTCTACATATAGGAGCAAGAACTATCAATTTTTCCGGTATCAGAGATCCACAATATGATCTTTTCTGCACAAATATCACCGTTTTTCGTTGCAGCACAATACTTTCTATGCCACGTAACTAGTATGCGAGAAAGTAAACATATTTTGTATTTCCAATTCCATAAGCTTGTATCGTAATAAGCATTCCTTGTTCGATTATGTTGTTCTCTGTGTGATTATTCGGAATCATATGACAGGTTGTGTAACAGAAGATAACGAAGACTATTGCTGCATTCTTGAATTAGGTTTACTGACATCAACAGAGGAAATTGTCGGAAAAGGAAATCTTCAACAAGCCTAATCATTTTTGTTATTATTTTAGAAATTTAAAGAAAACTTTGATTGCGTCAGAATTTGTTAAATTTTACTGATTCATGAAAAGGAAATTGAAATTCTAATCTTTCTAATGCATTACATTCTGTTTTTTTCAGGTGTTCAAAGTTCTCCTTCAGGATCTGGAGGGCAAGGTAATGTTTTAAGCAATGACATAAATAGAATACAACACTGATTTCAGTTAAATTTAAATTATTTTATTGATTGAATGACCAACATAATTGTTTTATAATGTTGTGTGCATTTCTTTTATTTTGGACCACTGAGAATATGTGCGATGAGAACGAAAATGCTGCCATTTTAACAGAAACCTAACAAATTACTACATTTTTCTTCAATCTTTATTTTACAGAAAAGAGAAGGAGACCAAATGAAATAAATATATTTGTGACTACAGATATCATGTATATATTTTTCCTGTGAAATTCTTTTGTTGCGTGTTATAGCCATTGAATTTTTGTAAGATACTGATTTTTGGCAAATATTGACGACTAGCGTACCCATGCGAGAACTCTCGCATGTTATTTCGCACCTCGAGAAAAGCAATTTAGCACGTTTAGTATTTAGTTGATATGTATGATGTGATATTATCCGCGCACATTTTCTGGATCCTTCGTGTCGCTAGTTGTGAGAGGAGTGGAGAATTTGGTTATTTCGACAAAAATAATTGTATGTCAATTTTTCGATGCAAAATAGTTTCATTACACGGAAGCAAACATTTCTGGTTATCAGATTTTGCCTACAGCCTCTATCATTCTATCATATATTCTTCATTCAACCAATGTTGGCAAAGGAGTGGGATATTCCGGGGCTTAAGAAAACGTGCGCGTTTTCTTGAGAATACTAAGTATACTTCATACCAAGTCCATGAGTAATGTCACAAACTTGTCACAGAAACAAGAATGTCAAATCATACATACGTTTGTTGCCTGACAATCCAGCCAATGAAGGCAGATATACTATTTTGTCTAAAGGCATCGTGAAACAAACTTGAGAACATGTGGTCCGTTTCCATCGTATTTTCCTCCACAATTAGGTACAAAGCATTTGTAGACCACGGCAAAACGTAATGAATGGTTGCATCACACGCATAAGAAACAATCTTCATCGGTATCAAGGAATTATTAATAGTAATTCTTGTTGTTGCTGCAATTATGCAAATAAACCTCAGTCTGCGCAAACCACGGAGTACATGAAAGCGTAAACACGGAGTACATGAAAGCGTAATACACAGAAAGCGTAAATAGTATAAGATAGAGGAATCTAAGCCTTCTAAACGTCATAAAGATTGCCATCATCACCAGAGTTTAAATATAGGTGGTATTCGATAAGTACCGAACTAGCAAAAATTCAATAGAATGTCGAATATGTCATCCTGTAGAATACGATTTTAGGAACGTTTCTCTCAGGCCTGTGACCTCAAAATGTCAATTTTTAAGGCCCTAAAACGCTTTATTTAGAAGTTACTTAACGATTTAGCTGACTGCTGCAGGTTGCATTTGACATTAACATTTAGATGCGTTTTTTAAATACGTCTTTTATATTATTAAAGTCAAAGTGCAATTAGTCACGTCTCTGTGAAATTTTCTTTCTTTAGACGTCTCATTTATAAAAATTGGTTGCGTGTGAGAGCTAGAAAAGGGATGTATGCTACTGAAATAATATAGGAGACAACATTAGTAACAAATACTTCGTTTGTCGGTCTAGATGCCCGAGATCGTTAAGGCAGTGGTGCCGTAGCGATCTTGGGCCGAAGGAACGGGGATTCGAGTCCCGCCTCGAGCATGGTTGTATTTGTGTTCGTCCTTCCCGCCTCTGTCTTCACCATATCATATCATCTTCACATTTAACATACCGTCATACGCAATTGTGGTCGCTAATGACCTAGATGTTAAGGCGACTTTAAATAATAAAAAAAGACTTCGTTTGTTTTACAAAGCTAGGAAACTCTGAAACGTACGTCCTAGACACGTACAATCTGGTTATCGATGTATATAAGAACACTTCTAGTTACGTTTCATAAGCAAACAAAATTAAATTCTTCAAAATTTTGAGAGTTAAGTTCTGGGTTCCTTTCGTAGCAACGTTGATCGGAGTTGTGCAGAATATCTTTGTCAATCAACGCTTGAAAATATTAAAACTTTTACTCACTCACAATATTTGAGCGGACCTGGAATTATATATTGCAGAATATTCGAATAACTGCATAATATAAAATCCCAATACTTCATAATAATATAATGATTGTAACGTTCAGTACTATTTTACATAGCTTTGTTACTAACGCGAGAATGTTAATAGGAAATATAGGAGTGTGAGGGGAGTGAATAATTTAATGTCTTTTATACGTTCTATAATTTGTTTTAATCTATGATGTTCCAAAGTAATGAGTTTAAAAGATAAGGGTTACATTGGATGACATGTTAGTAACTTAAAGTACACTAAATCTCTAATAATTGTACGCTGACATTTTAATTTTTCATGGCAATTTTGATTGTTCTTTGTTTCTTATCTTTCAATATGATCAGGTGATGTTGAGTGAATTACCATGTTAAAGGATTAAAATGAACTGCAAATCAAAACGACGAAAATTGCTGCAGTGTTAGTACTGCACCACCATCAATCACACTAAAAATGTTGATATTTTTACTTTTACAATAGTTCAAATCAACTCAAGTGAGATATTCTTAAGTAGTCTAACAGCTTAAAAACTATGCAAGTAACGGGAATATTCCAGGATTCTTATCCCATGAATTTAACTTGTTTTTGTGAATATTTGGTTCTAGCCAACTGTCTGCGGTTAATACATTTATTTTCAGGAATGTAAAGCGACTTCAAATATCACCCTTTGAAAATTTTTAATATACTAGATTAATTATTTTTAATGCATTAAGCAATACTGATAGAAATCACTCGAATTGCAAATTCCGTGCTTTATGCCATGGACTTTTACTTACACGTTGATGGGAATAATACAATAAGGTAAAAAGAGTGGAAAACCTTTTGTTGACGAGGAGCAAGTAAAACCTTACGAGTTAGAACAAGTCTAGAGTCAAAATATGCTCGGTGATATTATGTTATGAATAATAATCGCAAGAGAAAGTGGGTACAAGTGATAAAACTTAATGCATTCGTGCATGCAAAACGCGTTGATTATTAGTGGAAGACCAATATATCTGACAACGAGCAACAATTATAGTCATATTTGTTATGCAACTACATAGAATATAATGTTAAGCTTTTTTATAATTAAATGTCTGTACTCAGTTACATGCAAGTCTACATACCTTTAAATCTGTCGCATTACATAGCAAAAAGATAAATATTAGTAATGGAGAGCCGGAAAACAACTTTTCGACAGAAATACTCTTATTTGTGAGGCTTGCTAAAGCATTGCTAAGAAAATAGCAACTCTCTCTTACCTCTACTCTTACCATTACAAGCAAGAGGAGAGTTCAACAAAACACGCGCATAGTGAAGCTACGCCCAGAAGCAAAACAAGTGGCCACCTCAGCATTTGCTCAATGGATCATTGACCCGGAAGCTAAAGTACATTATTTGTTGCAAACATATTAAATCATTTGAAAAAATATACAATACAAATGTAAACTAATTCATTATATATCACTGTTTTGTTAAAATAAACATTAGTTTTCTTTTTGATAATCAGTATAGTCTCTAATTGTATAGAAACTTTATATAATGTATGCAGCAGAAAAGATTTTACTTTTAACTTAAATTTGTAAACCGACTTTAATTGTTTAATGTCATCTGGTAGTGCGTTGTAAAGTAACGTTCATGTAGATTTCTGATAGTGAGCTGTTGATACTGACACTTGGTGAACGTGATTTTACGACGTGTGTAATTATATATATATATATTTACAATAAGTATTGCGTTAAAATATGTTCCCACCGTTAAGTAAGTCACTTTTGACAAATATTATAGATTCATTAATATATAGTCAAGGCAGTTGTAATATTCCAAGCTCAATGAAGAGAGGCTTGCAAGGGTAACGCGGATGACATTTTTTCATTATTGGCATAATTTTCTGTTGCAATGTAAAGGTCTGAGTACTACATGATGAGTTTCCCCAGAATTTTATGCCATATCACAGGCGGGAATGTACATTTGAAAATACACGCAACGAACTTCATGTGTAGCATCTTTGCCGGGGCAATAAATCACAGACATGAACTGTTTGTAATTTATAGAGTATTTTTTTGAAATGTGCTCGAACACCTGACTACTATTTACAATAATTACAATAAACAATATTGACCCGTTACCAGAAGAAATCGGTATCGATTCGGGGTACCTCGAAGCAACACAAGTAGCAGTAAGTACGTACTGATTCTGGTACTGCTTCTCTGCAACGGGCCTATCGTATCTAAATTCAATGGAGAAAAGACCTCTCTTATAGTGGAGACCATCACTAAAGGTGCCTTCTTCCGATCACCACTATGACCTACGCGCTGGTAGCAGTTGCATGAACGCACAAATTGCTCCAGCTCTTTAAAACAATTTGGTCAGAAGAAGTGCTTAAACAAATTGTTCTTCGACTTAGCTATTCCTAGATGAGCACTGACAACTTCATGACAAATCTTTAATATAGGCCCACGAAATTTACCGGGCACAACTAATAATTCATACATCTCCCTTTTTGCTCTTCCGTTTCTTAAATAGTAAGGAATTCCTAACAAAATATGTATATCTTTCCGATTCTGCCTTTACGTCCTTATACTTTTCAAACAAACTATTTACACCCGCATCTTCCTTTTGCGCCGCGCTGAATTGTTCCGTATTTACTTTCAACATCTCAGTGATCGGCACAGTCAGTTCTAGTTCTTCTCCGTCTGCTAATAGACAGATTTCCGGGAATTCCTCCGACGGCTGATGCTCGTCTTCGCCCGGGTAAGTTGTGGCGGGCGGCAGGTCGCCTTCCGCCTCCGGCAATCCTAACTGCGGGTCGCCCGCCTTCTCCGCTTCAGTCCTACTTTCTGCCGCAGCTTACTGCGCGTCGTAACCATGTTTACCGTTTGTTCTTCTACTAAGCCCTGTTTAATATCTTGCCGAAGTTAAAACGTTCTGTTACTCAAAAGATACTGGTGATTACACTTCCTAGTTCTGAATT